CATTTTCAGACTGCAAACATTTTTGTGAACTAGTATCATCAACTTCATCACACAATGCACAGAATATTATTCTGGGCAAGTCTGGAGGAGGGAGGGAAGATCCTAAACAATGTACTGTAGTCAGGAAAAATGAAATGCAGAATGTACAGACAGTGGTCATTGACTATTGACAGTGGCTTTCAGAAAACAGAATTAGGTGTGATGCAACAGGTGAATCAATTAACATGTTACATTTTATTGTTGTTTAATTCTTGGGCACAGCGTTGAACTTCTTGATGATTGTAGCTCACTTGTTTTACCGTGAAATTGGTCTTGAGTGAAGTTGAGGGGGGGAAAAAACTAAAGTGGTCCAATTTTTTAAGCTTTGATTCCACCCACTTTTTTTGCAGGACTTTAACTACCAATATCCATGGAAGATTTGTCATAGGGAAAAGCAGTTTTGTAAATGAAAAAGTGATTCTCCAACCCTCATCTAACCTCCTCCTCCTCCTCCTCCTCCTCATTATTATTTATAAGAAGAAAATAATATATTTATAAAAATCTACAGTTGCAGCAAGCTAGCAGCCTTTATATTAACATAATCAATGAACTAAGGATAGCTACTCCAGTATAACACTATATCGTGTCCAGCATGAGAATTATTCCAGAATATAGCTCATCTCTTTATCTTCAGTACTTACACCAGACCGTTGACGTATAAAAAGTACATCTGAGTGGATTACAAAGACCTAAGTTCAAATCTCTCCTAAGGGTCTAACAAAATGTTATAAACGGCAGCAAATGGCCGTGATATCACTGCCCTGTAAAACTCTGTATGAAACAGAGATGTGGTGTAATGGCTGCATAAAGATTGTGAAGTATTTGTTAACAACAATGGAATGGAGACATTAATGACTACCAGACAGCAGACTTTAGAATACTTTTAAAAGCCATCACAAATGTATCTGGGAATATTTCTACAGCAGCACCACCATACATGTGTTGCATGAGCAATGGCCCCAGATCAGCAGCTGGCGTCTTCAGTTCAAATATCAGTACAGTAAAGCCATCAAAGAAAACAAAACGTTGGTGGGACAGATTACTACAAGAGTTATGCTGTTTCCTAAATGCTCAAAGGAAGCAGCAAAAAAATTTTGGTAATTTTTGCAAAAAAATATTGGTAATGTATTTAAGCATATGCTATTGTATTGCTTCCCCCTCCCCCCCCCCCCCCAGCAAGCATCTTCTGCAGATTTAATGATCAGGAACATCCTTCTGATGCATGCTGGAAGATACGGCTGTGGGGTACAGTCTACAGCAGACAGCGTATCAGATGAGGCAGAACTTCTCGTTAGGGGTGAGTATACTAATCATAGAAGACACGATCAGCATAAAGGATCGTGCAATACAGTTGAAATATTGGCATTGGCATTGATCTCATGGCCATGTTAAAGTGCTATCTACCTGTCCTTTAGTAGTGGGAAAGTGCGCAGGCATAAACTGTGCTGCCCTATTGTGGATTCCTGTACTGCCATATCCATAAGGATGGTGAATGGTGCTGCTCTTATTGATTTGAGGTAGGCCAAGATAAAGAAAAGGATCGGTGGATTTCCCTGACTGCATCTCCCTCCCCACTAAGCATCACTGGCTAGCAGGAAAACCGTCACCCATCACTTTCTCTAAAATGAGGTGGACAGCGTGAGTTTAGACAGATGCCTAGAACGACAGTTCAACCGCCTGTTAAATTGCCAGGCTAACAGGAGGCAGGTGTTAAGTGTGGGTGAGAGTGAGAGCAAGTGCTCCCGGTACTTCTGCTCAGTACAGTCCCCCTTCCATGGTGCATTGCACAAACAGGTATAGGAACTGCAGTTGGATGAGACTAGTCCCAGGAGCATTTCCTGGTTACCCAAGCAGCAGAAAACCTGTAATGCACCTAACTGTGACAGATTTAGCAACACCCCTCTAGCAGAACCCAGCTTTCTTTCCTGGATAAATCAACCTTCTGTGTGGCAGGAGGGCTAGTGCACTTTTGAAAGAACATTCACCTGTCATTTCACAGCTGGCATCTGTGAGGTAGTAGTGAGCTTCTGAGCTGAACAGCCATGGCCTAGTTGTTCTGACGTTTCACCAGCAGCTATGGCTGGCAATTTCAGAGGCACAGTGAGCTGCTTTGTGGTATAATTCTCAGAAGCTCATAGGCAACGGAAAGGGGGTGACTGGACTCTTTTACTTGAACCTGGCAAGCTGATCCCACGTCATGGGAATCCCAGAAAGCTGGTTCCTGATTGGTTCCATGCTCAGTTGCTGAATATTAAGTTGCACCTATTTTCACAACATGCAGATCAGGTCCTGGAGGAAAAGCAAAGCCAAACTGATTGTAGGCAAGGCAGACTCTGCTTAAAGATTCTTGGCCAGGCATCCATGCTTTTCACCATGGATGATGTGACACCAAAACCTATTCCCTGAAATAAACAATAGGGGAAGCTTTGCATATCATGGCATTTTCCTGCTAGAAAAGGCTTGGTTCATTTGTTCAGAGGAAGATTTCTATATATAAACAGATTTGAAGTCAAACTCAAAGATCGTCCAGGCCATCCTTCCAAGAAACATTCTTCCACTGTCAAAGAGCTTCTAACAACTCTATTCAGATTAAAAATGTATTGAAACATACTGGTTCAGGCCTCACCTTCAGGAAATTTGCCCCTTTATTTACTGATACCTCTTCAAATATTTAAAGAGGGCTATTATTTTGAGTCAGAGGGCTCAGGGCTTAAGGGAAAATTCTACAGGAATAAATACGTTTTATTCTTAGGTAGAGATTTAAAAGAAGAACATGAAGTGACATTTGGCGAGGCAGTTTCAAGCATTACTGCTAAAATCTGCCCTCTGCCCCTAAAAGGTGCATTCTAGCAGTATAGTCTAGCAATGTCCAGATGTACCTTCACAGCTTGCAAAAAGATGAGGCACATTTGTTCCCCACACATTTACTGTTCTCAGCCCAACTTGATTTCGGGGTGGGGGGGTGCTTTCATCGGAAGGGAAGAATCAAAATTCTTAGCTCAGTCTTTGGTTCTGATCCAGAGCAAATTTGCTGTTCCTATTGGGACCCATGACTGCCAACTTTTATTTATTTGCCCATCTTATCAGCTTCCTTTTCATTTGGCATAACATCTACATGCAGTATTTTTTGTTGCAGAGCGTTTCTTGATTTCATTCCTTGTGGAATAAATAGAGCAAAAATCCATAATGCAGGGTAACTCAGAACATAAAATTCTTATCCATTCATTATATGAACATAGATCTGCCTTATTACTCTAGTAAAAACTTGATGCACTCAATCAATACCCACTTTGTAGTCAGCTGTATTAACTCCTCAGAAGGCTTAAATCTGGCAATTTTCCTGCCTTATTCCTCTGTGTTCCACAGAACTTTCAGTGACACCATTCTATACTCAAGCTCTTTATAATCTTTAATATGTGCTGTGCAACCCTATTTGTTGTTTTCTTGCTAAGAGGCAAATGCATAGCTGGATCAAATCCCCACACCTGTAATTTGCACACACACAAAATTCTTATTAAAATGAATGACACTCCCATCCAACCCTTACAAATTGCAAATGTGTGGGGCGGTTAAGGGTTAGAGAGCTTTACTTCCCATACATGATTCCCAGTCCTGATTTGATCTTGCTGTCTTGCTGAAATATGATATGACTATGTTTGGAAGTATCAGTGTGCCCAGACATATGGAAAGTAGGCCACCCACTAGTCTAGAGGACCACTCACAGACCTCATGTGGCTCTGAAGTGCCCATTTGGTGACCCTACAACCTCTCAAAATTGGATGGAGCTAAAACTGTTGGACATTTGGTTTGGTTCATTGGTTAGCTGGTTTTTGCAGGTCTGATAAGCTTGAAGTGCTATAACCATTAAGTCTTACTGAATCTTAAAGCATTCGTCCCTTAAAATCCTCCCTTCCCCCCAAAATCAGGCTAATATTTTCTATTGAGGAGCTTAAGAAAGGTTAAGATTCCTATTTCATTAAGTTCTACTTCCTCTGATGATATCACCAGCCATACCTTCTTTGCCCTCCAGGCAGGGTACATTGACAAAGTGGGACACCCAGGCTAAAAAAGTCCAACAACCTGTTTCCAACTGTGGCCAAACAGATCCCAGAATTCACACGCATCACAGGAGAATAAGAAAGAGGAGCTTTCTACTCTTGTTCAAAGAGCACTATCTGGATTGTCTGAAGATCAAAGCCTGGCACAGTAATCTCTCCAAGTTACTTGTTTTCTGTCCTGGATATTATTAAGACTATGGGTCTTTCTTCAGGTAATATCACAATTTGGAATGATGATACCATAATTTATTAGAAACCTGACCATTTGGCTTGCCTACAAATTGAAACCTGTTTTCTTTACTTGGCAAACTTGGCTCATGAACTATGAAACCTGAGTTTACAGCTGGTCTCAAGTGACTTCAGGGCACTCCATGTGACTGATCACATAATGGGCTTTGTCACTGCAAATCTATTGATAGCTGAATGCTTTTGTAACAAATGATTAGATAATTCCTTTCATTTTGTTCTGCTTAAATTCTCCATTTTTAGATAAAGTTGCTGCTCTCAAGCTTCTCTCTAAGTCCATTACATGGTGGCTTCTTTCTTATTCAAGCAAGGTCACTCTCAAGAGTTTGACTGGTGTAACCCTTTTAGTCTCTATATGGGGTTTAAATTGCACACTGCCTAACTCTGCTTGGGGTCTTCTATTATGTTTGAGATTACACAGCACACCAAGGAGCAAACCACAAAGAACACTTGCTGCTTTCCAAGAAATCCCACTGGCATATTACAAAGAAAAGTGTTTGTCAGAAGCATCTGTACTATCTTTAATAATAATAATCAGATTGCACAAGACCAAGCCTTAAGAACAAATGTGTATAAAGCCAGAATTGAGAAGACAGCAACAGACAGCAAACATCACCTCTGCAAAGAAGCTGAAGAAACAGTGGACCACCTAGTCAACTGCTGCAAGAAGATCACATAGGTTGACTACAAACAACAGCATGACGAAGTAGCAACAATGGCACATTGGAATATCTGCAAGAAATACCATTTGCCTGCAAACAGGAACTGGTGGGACTACAAAACAGACAAAGTAATAGAAAATGAAGAAGCTCAAGTGCTCTGGGGTTTTAGAATTCAGACAAGCACGTGCCACACAACACCCCAGACTTAACAATTGTTGATAAGAAAGACAAAAAAGTCTGGATTGTGGACATTGCAATACCCGGAGACAGCAGAACAGAAGAGAAAGAACTGGAGAAAATTACAAAATATAAAGACCTGCAAATAGAAGTAGAATGACCGTGGCAAAAGAAAGTAAAGGTAGTACCAATAACAATAGACGCCTTGGGTGCAATCCCAAAACACCTGGAGCACCACTTAAACACCATCGGTATTGACAAAATCACCACCAGTCAATTGCAAAAGGCACCTTTACTTGGAACAGCTTATATCCTACAACAATACCTTTAACAACATCAAACAACCATATCTGCCTATCCCAGGTCCTGGGAAGGACTCAATAGATGGATAAAAATGCCAAATCCAGTCTAAACATCTGGCTGACTATGTGACCAACCATAATAATAAACAGATCTAACTTAGGAGATGCCCTGTGGTTTGCTCCCTTCATCCTCTTCTTTCCAACTACACATTCCTCGTGGGGAAGAATCTCTGCGTGGGGAACTTCTCATACTGATTTTACTCTTGCCCAACGAAAAGCTTTATATTTTGAGCTTCCAGTCTCCTGCAATCACTAGATAACATAGGTCACTTTGGCTTATTCTCCTTTCCAGTTTTGATTATATGAGGGCTTGTGATTCTTCTTTATTTAGGTTTTCTGCCAGGCTAGATGTCTTCGTGTTTTAGACAGATTGAGGATTATCAGTGCTTATCTTTTTTATAGCCTTATCAGAGTTTATTCTTTGTCCTCTAAGAGTGACCTGACATGGATAAGACCTTCCACGAAATCTCAAATCTTCTTGAGAATGAATTAGACCCTGCAGCTGAGAAACGCAGGCTTAATTTTGGAGATTTTCTTCCATATCTAGTGCTTTCTATAATGTTTTGCCTGATAAAGAGCTCTGGAGGACTCCAAAGCTTGCACACACTTTTAGGCACTTTGCTGGGTCCTAATAAGTTGATTTTTTTCATACTAATGATTGCAGCACGCTAGCCTTATATTACATCCAGTATCATGGATGCTAGTTTCTTGGAGGAAAAGTGGATTTCCATAGATATTTGGCACTGTAGAAACAGGATTCAGTGGACTTCACACATGTTTATTTCAAATCCA